TATCAGAAAATGTTTTATAGATATGAAAACAAGGCAGAAAGTCTTGGAACTTATTCAAGTTTCTTTATATGGTAGAAGACAGGAATATAAGATAAAAGAAAATATGCATGGCTAATTCAATAAAAATATATTCGGCATAATATTTCTTGTGTCAGGAAGATGACAGCCTGGTCTGGAGTTAGAAAATCTGCAAACACAGAGGTTCTAATTCCATTTCTGCCATTAACTTATTTGTTAATCACAGTAGGCCATTTAATCTCTTTATGTGTTTCTGTATTTGCAAAATAGAGTAATTAGTAAAAGCTATACCATATGTATCAGAGGACTTTTTTTCTTTCAGGATAGAAATGAGAAAATACATCTGAAATGTAAAAACAGAAAAACAATAGATTTAAATGTCTTAGAAGTACTGCATTTTAAAAACCTCCATATTAAAAATATAGGTAATTTTTATAATTTTGTAGGGAATCCTAGTTAGAATGGTTTCCATCCTTTTATTTTTAATGGGATCCTAATTTTTATTGCATCCTGCACACTGAGCAGTATCTTCACCCTGCTGATAAAACAAAAATTTATATATCAAGAATAATTTATTTAGCAATTCCTACTTCATTGTTCAACAAAGAATGTTTGACAAAAATATTACTGCCTTGTTCAGTATATCCACACACTCTCAAATGTTACAAGAAATCAATTTGGAACCTAAGAATTGATTTTTTTCAATAATTGGATGGATGAATTTATTAAATTAACTACTTTTGTGTTTTGAGATTACAGCAGATGCGCGTTTTTAGTGTTTCCTACATGTTTTCTTTATACGCTGGAAAGTAACATTCTTTTCCGTTATCTCACAGGTTTAGTTCGCTGTGCCATGCCACTCTATACATACTGTTTTTATTTTACATTTCCATATTCTGAAGATGGACTGTTTTTACTACTTAAAATAACTTACACTTTTGATTTTGTGTCCAAGTTCTAAGTACATCTTTGTACCTTACCCGTTCATATATGTTTTCAATTATATTAGACCTTTCTTCTTATATAAGACCTTTTCATATTTATTAAATTATTTATAGAGCACAAACTTCCCTATAGATTTTTTTATTTTTATGATTGCTTAGAAAATTACTGTACTTACATTTAGAGTAATATAAAATTAGATACATGCATTTCTGAGTAATTATCTTTACAGTGGTAGTTCTCTGGTTAATTTTTATTTTTTTCATAATAACAATAGTAAAGATTAAAACAAGTAATATATTCACTTTTAATGTAACATATGATTGTTATTTTTCCTAGCAAAAATTCTCATTTATTCATATGTAACTGCCTTGAAATTTGTACTTTAAGGACAAAGAAAGGTCACCAATCCCTCTAACTCCTGGTTCTTTGTCAAAAATGGACACAGTTAATGAGGTTTGTTTGGTACAGAACAAATTCTCAGACACAGATAGAGATCCTTTCAATGGAAACAAATTTGTTTGGCTTTACCAGGTTACTTTGCGATTAATAATAGCCTTGAGATGCAGGTCAGAGAGGTCATTGTACCAGCTTGCCAACACAATCTACACATGCAGCTAGCCTGGCTCTGTGGGCGCAGAAGCCCCCAAAATACTATGCATAAAGTAAAACAGGCTATTTTCTGACTCCTTTTTTCATATTAATAAGCAATTTTCAAGAGAAGGGTGGCAAAATGGGGGCCATGCCACTCCAAGTAATTCATTTATTTTGCAATTTAATCTTATGTTGAAAAAAATTGCTCTGCTGCAATAGCATAGCTTGGTGATTTTTAAACGTCAGTGTGTTTCATAAGTAACCTTGTATGAAGTATTGTATTGGTAGCCTTTAACAGAAAATTGCAACAAAAATATTTCTAGACATTGAAGTAGAAAGGAGAATCTCTTTTATTTTTTGAATTTTTTCCTCTACTTTCCTCAGATATCTTTGAGAAAAATGCTCAGATAATTTATTTAAAACTTTACTTACAGAACTAGACACTAAGTTACATACCTACTTTAAAAAAAAAAAGTATAGTACAATTTCGAAACATTATTTTAACACAAAGAGTTAAGTTTTTCCTTGAAAATAAAGGATTTATTTTTCTCCATATTTGATATCATAATCTGTTTAGCAGGTGTTTTCACATAGTATACTTAAAAGCTTTTTTTGGTTTATATTTCTTAGATACACATAAATAATGAAAAGTTTCATTATTTTAATAGAATTTATTATGCCTAGAAAAGACTTGCACTTTCTCACCTGATTTAGCTTTTATTCGAATTATCTACATAATTGGACAAAATGTCAGCCTTTGTTTGAAGTGCAAGATAATATATGTAATCTTATTGGTATTATTTGAACTGTCAACTGAAGTAAACCTACAATAAATTAAGTGTATGTATAAAACCTGTCACATTTTTAAATTTAGGCCATTAGTTAGTATGCAAAATAAATGATTAGAGATTTGAAAATACAAATCCAAAATGTAAGGGAAAACAGTAGCTCAGATGCTTTCTTGGGAGATTTAAGTATGTCCAAAAAAGTTAATCTTAAAGCAAAAAAACCTGATAATTTAGTAAGACACACTTTGCATTTGATATGAGTATTTTCTCAGCTTTGAATTAATTATAATATACTCATTTGATCTCAAAAACTTAATCACCAAAATATCACATAAATGCTTTCTAAATTTTGCAAAGATTCTTGTAGAAAATGCAGGTGAGATAGATTACACCACTGATTTGGATGGATATGGATGATAGTTGCCCGTCAAAAAAAAACTGATTTATCATCAGTGAAAGAATTAAAATGTGAACACATAGTATCATAAATAACTACAGATGGTTTTGATGCAGGAAGGCACTGGAGGAGTTTGCAGAAATGAAAGAAAGAGAAGAGAAGAAAGCTAACCTCGAAAGGGAAGAGAAGAAAAGAAATTACCAAGCCCGAAAGATGCATTACCTCCTCAGCACAAAGCAGGTTGGTCTACCTGTCCCTGACAGCTCCTGTAAGCCACTTGGGCCCCTAGCCTGACAGAGATAAACTAGCAAGCTGAATGGGACATGACTTGTTGAAAAGATATCACAAAGACACTACTTCGAGTTCAATTTCGTGCTTCTGTGTAGGTGCGCGCAGGCACCATGACTCGTCTGTGACAGCAGCTTCATAGAGGCAGCCACTGCGATGCTGGCAGAAAGGTCCAAGTCAGCAGTGTGATCTGCCACGGTGATAACACAACACGAAGGGCATAACCTCACTTTCAAAACTCATTCTGAATGGCTTATTGTTGTGTTGTGAATTGATCAAGAACTAACAAGTTATTAGGCTGAAGTGGCTTTCATGTTTTCTCTTTTAATTGAGCTAATGTTGAGATTAAAACCATTTTTTGACCCTTTCTAAATTTTGATGGAAGTTTTCAGGTAAAACTTTTAACAAAATTGCTTCAGCAGTTACATCTTCTTATAGAAATATAAGCATGAAATTTGGAATACTTAGACATTTATTTTACAATGCTTGCTAAAATGTCAATACCTTGGATTTTGTCCTGGTTACTAGGAAAGAATACATGGCATGTGGAATAGTCTCAAAAAGAAATACGGTTTTAAAAAAACATGAATTTGGGGGTTGAGATGTGTTTTGTTACTAGGGAGCTAGTCAGGAAACTAGCAATCTCTGGGTTTTTATTTTTTCTCACAGACCTTCAAGTCCTATGTTGTAGTTTTGGCCAGAGTCACATAGTCGAATGTCTCCAGGCAGGGGCAAGTCAAGTCCCAGTGGTGAAGGGTGAGCCCCAAGACTGAATGTCATCCTTAGAGGCATCTAAATTAAAAAAATATATTAAATCCTGGGCTGGCCGTGTACATTTGGAACGTAGATCTCCCTCTATCTCTAGCTTCTGCTTGGTAGTCTGAATATCATTACTTTTTAATCATGGTGACTATCTTCATGTTTACTTGGATTTGTGTAGCTGAGTTATCTTCATGTGACAGGTAAGGAAACAAACTCAGAGGTGTTACGTGGCTGAGTTAGAGATACAAAGCTAGTAGAAATAGACATGGCACTCGGCAATCTAAGGTCACTGGACTTCAAATACTTAGGCAGTAATTTAAAGATACTTTTAAAAATTAAAAGTCAAAATATTTTAACTTTTCATTAAAATCTATGGTAGTAACAGTTTTAGTTGTATAATTGAAGTGCTACCTTTTTATATAGAATTTCAAATTAAAAATTCCTTTTCGCAGAGATTTTTTAACTTTAGTTATTAGTCATTTCAACTTTCATTAAACTAAGCATACTATTAATACCCTTATTTCTTTAATTCTGGTATTTTATTTTTTACAATACATTTGTTAATCATAGTAACTCTGAACATCTTTATACTCTGAATCTTTCTTAATATGAGTTCTAGTT